CGGCTCGGCGCCCGCTTATCTACGCCGGAGGCTGCCTGGGGAGAGGCGCCGCCGCCGGGCACCGAGGGAGACCCGCTCCCCCCCTTGGGCTCCGGGGCGACGGCGGCTGCAAGCACACAGACACAAGACAGTCTTGTTTTAAATGAGGCCCGACTCCAGCGGACTGCACCCCCACCCACGACACCTGGGGCGCAGAATCACACAGAGCAGATCTGCGTCCGCGGAGCCACCTCTCCACATCTGCAAATCCAAAAGTGAAATTAAACCTCCACCAGCCTCCTCCTCCCTGTCTTCCTCCTCCTCCTCGCAGCCTCAGCAGCCCGTGCCAGTAGCAACAGCAGCAGAACCTGCTTCCCCTAAATCCAGATTTTCCATAATTGTGCCGACTGTTCCTCCAAAAACCGGTATTAATATTTATGAACCCCGTCATTTTCCGTCTGCAAAACATCATGTCAAAGCATCAGGACACGCACAGGCACACGCACACGGCTCCTCCAGTCCCCATAAACATGCCCTCGAGAGAAACACGCACAGTCACAACTATTATTTGAAAAATGTTACCTCTCAGTGTGCTTTTTCAACGCTACCAATACAATTCCGCAAGGTGTAAGTGTTGCTAGGGTGTGTGAAATGGAAATGAAAGTCCGTCAGTTGAATAATCGCAGGAGCAAAACTAAAAGTTACTCCCCGGCTCGCCTGAGAACAGTCCAGATCGAAAGCAAAACAAGGAGAGGAAACTGCGAAGCGCTGAGCCTGGAAATCCCCCCACCCCCGCCCTCCCGGCCGCTCTCGCTCCCTCCCCTCAGCCCGCCTCCCGCCGCCCTTCCTCCACGGTGTTTGTTTCAAGCTTGTGCAACTAGGAGGTGGAGGCCGAGGGGGGGCGCGAGCGGCCGGGCCGCGGGGTGCGGAAGTTCGCCGCGCCGCCGTTCATTGGCAGGCAGCGCCGCTTTCATCATTTCTCGGAAAAGTCAATTTCATTTTCACTTCCCCACGTCAAGGCAGCGGGAGCAACAAGCGGCAGCGCGTGAGTCTGCAGCTCGAACGCAGGGGCGCTCCGTCACCGCCCCCCGCGCTCAGAAGGCGACCCGAGGTGGCACAGGCTGGGGTTCGGGTGCGCAGCTAGTGGTGGTAGAGGAGGGAGGGACCAGCTCTCCATCCATCCGAAGGGACACCTTGAGGTGAAAGAGGGGCCACTTCCCCTCCAAGTGAAGCAAGGGCCCCTGCTACCCAGTGGGTAGTTAGGTGGTGCTTGCAGCCGCCCTGTTCAGGCTAAAGAAAAGTCTCACTTTGGGGCAGTGCCCCCTTCAAAGGGATGAGAGGAACAATCAGCTGAAAAACAGCATGACTTCGGCCGGGACGCTTATCTGCAGCTGAGGGTGTGAGGGGTCTGCCAGGCCGGCCCTCTGACACCACCCGGAACTCTGTCTGGGAGCTGGGATGGTAAAGGAGCGACCCTTGTACACCCCCTCAGTCACAGCAGCACTCCTAGGCCACTGCCTTGCCACGGAGTTCCACTGCTGTGAGGTGAAAGGCTGCTTTTACTGAAAGCTGCCTTGAGCCGGGCTGGTCTTGATGGAGGTTTTATGCTGTAGGACTTCCAAGTTTAAATCTGGCCTCCATAACTTACTCGCCTGGTGTGCGTGCCTCAGTTTCCCAAGCTGTACAATAGAGATAAATGAGGGAATCCAAGAATGTCACAGGTGCAGCCTGGGACCTACCCCTTTTGGTCCCGTGCCTTAAAAATAATGGCTTCAGGGGCTGGGGATTTAGCTCAGCGGCACAGCGCTTGCCCGGCAAGCATAAGATTGTGAGTTTGATCCCCGGTACCGGAAAAAAAAAAAAAAAAAAAAAAAAAAAAACAAATAACGGCTTCACATTAGTTGTATCTGTTACTTCCCCACTTTCGGTTTTATCAGCCTCCCCCCAGTCTTCTCTACCTACCAGAAAAGTCCCTGCTTAGGACATCCTAGCTATCAATATGTAAAAACATCCTAAAAATAACTTCCACTACATCTCCTTCTAGCAAAAGTCCTGGCTGGATTCCACCGTCTAGATAAAAGAAAGTATCGAGGTACACGTGTATGGCAAGGAAGGCACTGAATGTTTAGGACCATGTCTTGTGGCTGTGGTCTCAGCTTTGTTATCCATTCTATAGTAACACTATGTAACGCTGCTCTCACGTTTCATATACCAATAACTATATGTAAATTGTAGAATAGTTTCACCCACCCAGGGACCCAAGTTAAAAACTCCGTAGTCATAGCCATTTTTTTCTATACCAAGCAGATAGAAGGAAGAACTGCAGGGTATGATTTGAACTTCTTGCTCCTTGCATGCACAGGATTCTGACCTCACTTGAGCAGCCTCTATCCACAGTTCTCAGGAAAGAAGGATGAGGCGTAGCTGGACAGCTGATGCCTTCCTCATGTCTGTGAGGAGCAGCTCCCTCAGTGGTGTGCTTTCAAGGGAGCTAGACAGGGCCGGGCCCACAAACCTCCACCCTGTGTCCTAATTACCTATTACCACACTTCGGGTTATTCCTGGAAACTCGTGCTGGATGCAGAAAGATTCCAGACTGCTGTGATTCTGAGGCCTGACTTCCCAGTTCCAGTTCTTTCACTGTAACCCCCGTGAGGAGGTAGACCTGCCTGATGAAAGCACAGTCCCTTTGCCTTGTTGCAGGAAAAGGCACTGTCTTGATTATGGTCTTTGACAAACAAGTTTTACACAAACTTTTTCTTCCAGTCATGTGTGATGTTTTCTTTCCAACAGTATACACTCAGTCATATGCTATTGACCTGATGGTGCTACAAACAAAGATCTCTGAGCCTGGCCCATCCTTAGGTCACTGCTGTCATTCAGGTATTGCAATTCCTGGAAACCTGACTCCTACCTTGTACTCCAGCGGCTACGCTGCAACCAGAGTTAACTAGAAAATACATGGCAGGTAAAGCCCAGTTAAGGACTTTTCTTTGCAGCTCAAAAACCTCTCTTTAGCTTTCGGGATGATGGCCTTCTTATTTGACAAAACACATAAAGTTCGTTGTAATCTTGTGGCAGACTAGTTTGCAGCTTTATCCCCTGCCACTGCACCCCGTAAGGCCTGCATCTCTCCCTGGAGAACCTGCTGCCTTCCTCTTCGCAAAACAGTGGAGACAGATCACTTGCTGTTAGGCCTTGTGTGTCCTTAGCGTGGGGCCCAGCACACAGGCACTCAGTGCTTGTGAGTTAATGAGTACTTGCTCTTTTCATCAGGTTTTCGTCAAATATTTTAGGCACTATCAGAGCATTTGTTTTCTACTTGAGTAATATAAATGTAACTGATACATATTTTGCAGCAGTCAAAAAATACAGGCAAGCTGAAAGAAGAGAGTAAGCCGCCTGAAATCTCACCTTTTGATTTTGGTATGTATTTCCTACTAGTCATTTTTCTAAAGGGCCACTTCAGAAAAGTCATCTCTTCAGTCTCTCTTTCAGCATCGTTTAATGATGCTGATTGTGCTTTTCATTCCCTGCAGTGCTGTGTGACATCCTTCTGTCCTATTCTATTTCTTGGCTGGCTCCTCTTCTGCTGCCAGCCCCCTAAATTATGGTGTTGCCAAGCATTCCCTCCTCAACCCTCTTATTTTCTCATTCTACATGTTTTCTCTTTGGGTGCTCTCATCCACGCCCAAAGCCTCAAATATCATTACAGATGGCCCCCAACTTATGATCATTCTATTTAGAATTTTCCAACTACATAATGGTACGAAAGCAATATGCATTCAGTACAAACCATACTTAAAATTGTGAACGCTGATCTTTTCTCAGCATTACGCAGTAAGATATTCGGTGATCTTATGGGGTGCTGGGCAGTGGCAGTGAGCCAGAGCTCACAGCCACACACATGATCGCAAGGGGAAACAGCCAGTACCCTACGGTGTACCCATTGCTAAACGATAATATTCTGTAGGTTAGGTTCATCAGATGCATTTTCATCATGCAATATTTTCAACTTATGATGGGCTTTTCAAAATGTAACCCCGTGAAAAGTAGAGGAACGTGGATATTCGATGATCTACAACTTCTAAGTTCTGATACATTACTTCCTAGATGTTCTGCAGATGCAAACAATTCTGTGTCTAAAACTAAACTCATAACCTAGTATTTGTCACTTCATTAATTAGCCAAGAAACTGAGAGGCATCAGAGCCTCACCTACCCGCTTCCTGAGCCCCTCCCTGGAGTTCCGTGAGGCAAGGGTATTGCTTCCAACTTTTCAGGCCCCCTAAA